AAGTTCATGGACAGCATTCTGCTCAGCGATGCTGTCGGGTCCAGGATCTTCCCTACTCCCCACCAGCCATTTGAAGCACAAGGCCTTTGTCCTCATGCTTATCACCTCATGGTCACAAAATGGTCACCTTCTGCGTTGTGGAAAGTCAGACAAAGAGCATAGGCTGTCCCTTTTGCAAAGCTCTAGAAACCCTACCCCTGGGCTTCTGCTTATATCTCAGTGGACAGAGCCATGTCCCATGACTGCGCATACGCTCACGGGAACGTGGGGAGGTGGCTGTTTTAGCTGAGTACATTGCTGCCTGAACAGAATTCAGGATTCTTTCAGGATCTGATTAATAAGGACCCTATTTCAGATAGCAGGGCCCAACTGGCCAAAGCAGGTGATGGTTGGGTATTGGGAAATAATGTTTTCTTTACATGCTTTTTAAGGAAGCAGACCTGGTTACAACTCATGAATTGGGGCACAATTTTGGAGCAGAACATGATCCGGATGGTCTAGCGGAATGTGCCCCAAATGAGGACCAGGGAGGAAAATTCGTTATGTACCCCATAGCTGTGAGTGGGGATCATGAGAACAACAAGGTATGTGTCCTTTGGAGCTTCTTTATGTTGTTGGGAAGGAGAGAGGCTAATTATAATGAGCTCAGAGAGGCTCCATTCTAGGCTCCATTCTAGGCATGGAACTGTACGTTAAAAGGTACCTCAAAACTTGGTTGTGTGTTTTTAAGTAAAACATGGTCCATCTAAATCTGGTTAAAGCAGTCCTTTAGGTCTGAATTAATCACGTGTAGATTTGGGCTGCACAGAAAATTAGTAATAGTTTGGGCTTGTGTTGGGGTTCTCGACTGCAGGGTGTGGCGGGCTCGGGCTTTAAGTTAAACACTCCTGTCATTTCACTTACAGTTTCATTTATTTAAACTCCACATTACTTCACAATTTGTGTTTTCATAATCTCGTGCCACAAAATACATCATTTGCCAGACTCTAAGTGCCTATGGGAAGGGCCCTTGCCTTCCTTGCTCCTGCTCTGTCTCCAGCGTCCGGTAGGGGAAGAGGGGTACGTGGCACGTTGTAACCGTGCCGAGTACATAAGTGAGCGCGTCACTGTGAGGGTTTCTGATAGAGTCCACCAGCTGACAGAGTGGCTGCGACTGTGTTCATAGACGTCTAGTGTTTTCATTTCACTCGAAGTTAAGCAGCACCAGGCCTGTGAGGAGAACGTACTGGTTTCGATGCTGTCAGGAGGGCCGGGGCGAGGGCTAAGCGAGTCCGTCTCTAGTCAGGGAAGATGGTAAAGCAGTTGTCCTGACTCCTTTTTTATTTCAGGTCCCTTAAATGTCTTTACTATAAAAATTAATTGGAAGATCCCTTTTAAAACATTCAGTAAGTGTTTCTGTTTAGGGTGGTAGGTCTTGGCTATCTTTCCAAAAGTATGCCATTGCTATCGGATTCACTGGTGATAGTCACCTTTGCAGGGTCCTGTGTTCTCTACTCCTCGGGCTTCATGGCTCTTGTCTGGAGTGAAAGTAAAGCCATTTTAGCAATTGGCAGGGCACTGTGGAGATTCTACCTCAAGAAGTAACTGAGCCTTCCCTGTTTCTTACCCCATTTCAGGCGGTTCAGAAAATGGACTGTTTTAGAGCTCTTGGTTAAACTTCCTGAATACAGAAGGGGGCCTTCCGTGGTTCTGTACTGCAAGCGGGGACACTAGGGTGGTAGAGGCTTCCTTTGAGACACTGGTCACCTTAGAAAACTCAGGAATGTGTTACAGTCTTGGGGACCCTTGAAAACATTTAGGTAACAGTTTAGAATTTATCTTTAACAGACTGCATGTAGTATGCCTCTTACTAAGCTCAACTATTTAAAAACTTTAAACGTGGATCATTCATAGAAATAGCCGGGGAAGGAGGAGGAGGGAAACGGGAAGCAGACCCTGTTCTGCATGCCTGAACCGTCATCTGGGAGGACGATGGTCTGTGCCTGGTTCTCGCTGTCACCGCAGCGTTGCCTGACCCAGGACACCTTCGAGTCCAGCCTGGTGCAGCTCCCGACTCCGTGCGGCTTGTCCTCTCCACGGCCTGGCTGGGAAGTTTGGGCTCGGCATATGCATAACTTGCCTTCCCGTGAGGAGTTTTAGGGTCCTAAGCAAATTCACACCAGCTTTTTCGCGTTGTGCAGAGGGAGATCACCGAGTTTCTATAAATGCACTTGGAGATAGCAGCGACAGAACTTGACGCCCCTTCAGGTGGCTCTGATCGTGACGTTTACATTGAGTTTATTCCTAGAGAAGTGGCGCACACACTTACGTGGGAATCACCTTTTATGTTCTTTTGGGTCCTTGTGGCCTTTCTTCTCTTAAGATGTTTTCAAACTGCAGTAAACAGTCCATCTATAAGACCATTGAGAGTAAGGCCCAGGAGTGCTTCCAGGAGCGCAGCAACAAGGTGTGCGGGAACTCCAGGGTGGACGAAGGGGAGGAGTGCGACCCCGGCATCATGTACCTGAACAACGACACCTGCTGCAACAGCAACTGCACGTTGAAGGAGGGCGTCCAGTGCAGGTGAGATACGGCACCCGGCCGCCGGCGCGGCAGGCTGTCCAGCTACTGCAGATGGGACACGAGGGCTTTTGGAATGGATTAGGGGCGCGGGCATGTGCCTGTGTTGACCCCTTTGCCCTTTACAGCAAGAGAACTGCTTTCTGGAAGGCAGTTTGATGTCGCGTGGCGACATCCTTAGTCTCGCATGCTCCTTGGTATAGCAGCGGCACAGTTCGAAGACTCTTTTCTGAGGAAACAGATGTACAGGAAAGTTGATTGACAAAGACATTCATGTCTACAGCCTTTTATAATAGAATAATGGGAACAGTCAAAATAACAGCCCTGGGAGGCAAATGAATGTATCTATGAGGAGCTAGTGTCACAGAGTCCTGTTTAAGGGCACAGGCCACATGTGGGGAACACAGGTTACATGTTGGAAGGGACCTATGTCTCCATTTTCATGACTTCTGAAAGACCAGTGCGTGGCTTAGAAATAGGAGGGGCAAGCTTAGTTGGCCGCGACTGACAGATGGGGCTGCCTGCAGTGCATGATGACAGTGTGCTGATGGCAAGGTGGCTCGGGCTGCCTAGTTTCTTGACCGTTGGTTGCCTTGCATCCTTTTTTTTTTTAAATTACTATATTAAGTTAATGAAATTATTAAGTTAATGAAAACCAAGGATACCAAGGTGTATTTTTTAGAGTCACTTTGGACCACCCTATACTTTCTGCACTGCTGCTGCCTGATTCCACAGTAGCAAGGGTAGACATGGCGTGTGGAGGCGGTGCAGCACCCAGGAAGTCTGGTTAGGCAGGAGTGGGTGCCCCGGCCAGACCTTGCTCTGCCGTCTTCAGGGCCCTGAAACCAGACTGCAGGTTTGCTGTGGGGTTGTCCTTTGACTTGAACTGTCCCTGTCTGCTCTTCTGCAGTGATAGGAACAGTCCTTGCTGTAAAAACTGTCATTTTGAGACTGCTCAGAAGAAGTGCCAAGAGGCTATTAATGCAACTTGCAAAGGCGTGTCTTATTGCACAGGTATGTCCTCCTGTCGTCCTGGAATGCTTTGCTCAAGCGCGCGCGCGTGTGTTTGGAAAACAAGATTGTTTCATTTGGATGAAAACAACCCTTTTTTAACCTCATGTTCAAAGTTGAGTTGATTATACTCCTTAGTTTGTGGCACACTTGTCACTGGTCTTTTTCATTCACTTCATTTCCATCCCTTCATTCTTCCACTCATAGGTGTCCATTCTGACGTGTAGCATTTGTCTGGATACGTGCATATCCTTGAAACGTAATGTGTTCTTTTGTGTCTGTGTGTTTAACATGCCAAAATGATCCTCTACCTTTTAAACTCAATACCATGTTTTTACAAAGCATCCCTTGTGCTATGTAATATCTGTGTCTTTTTTTATGAGTCTGTTGAGGGCAGCAGCATATGCTGAAAATACAAGAGCAGCACGGAGCGTCTCTGTGAGCTTGCTTCCAGGAGCAGCAAGTTTGTTGACACACTGAATGCCCACCGCCCGTAGAGGGTTAGACCAGAGGCAAGTGGACAGTACCTAAGGAAGTATATATTAGGTACTTAATGAGAGGCTGCTTTAGTTTGAAATAGGGCAGATTTCAAGTTTTGTGTCTCTGCTCCACAGACCTTAAAGTTGGAATTCTTTTGATGGGTTCCGTCCTTCCGCCGAAAGGCTGGGGGCCTCAGAGCTGGGGGGGCACATGCCATTGTTTTCATGTGGCTTTTCTCTTCTTGTGTTGACTTTAACTGCTTGTGCTGCTCATTTTCCAGAATGAGTCACTCATTGCGTCCTCTCTTCCAAGTTTAACATCCTTTGATGACTTTTCTTTGTTCTTGAGACTCGATTCATTCAAGAAACATTCGCGATGCACGTACAGTGTGCTGGGGTTGGACGTAAGCCTTGTCCTTAATAGGTTTGATCTGTGCTCTGGGGAGCACGCCCACTGCTGGGGTGGGGGCGACAGGAAAGAACTGTAGGTGATCAAACAGTGCCGAAGGTGAGCTGGAAGAGAAGTATGTGTGATGGAGCGTGACGGGGTGAGGGTCACCAGCTGAGGTAGGGTCCTCAGGGGAGGTCTCAGGAGAGATGAATCTAAAGGGAGAGAAAAAGCCAGCCGATCTCCCCCGGGCATTCCGGGCAGAAGGAACAGCCCGTGTTAAGGTTCTTAGGTGAGGAAGACCGTGGCGGGCGAGGAAGGCGGAGGCAGGCCCTGTGGCAGAAGCACGTGGGCGCGGGAAGTGGGGGCCCAGGCCCCCATCAGCGCCCAGAGGGAGTTCGCTTTTGGTCTGCGTAACAGCGCTAGGCGTTTGTTTCACTAGAGTTAATAGGACGCTGCTGTTTTTTAGACGTTATGTTTCATAATAAAAAGGCAGGAGCAGAACACGTGGAATGTTAACTGGTGGCTGGAGAGAGGCCTGGGGACGGGTGGAGACACCTGGGATCTTGGCACGCAGTGCCCGTTGGCGACCAGACGTAGGCCACAGCTACCCTGCTGTGGGCCACCTTGTCCCCTCCGCCAGGCCCAGTGTCCAGTGTCATGAGAATCCACGTGGCATGCCCCGTAGCATGGAGCCTTGCTTAGCAGTGGGCGACTCATGGGTCCCATGTGCTTCCAGGGAACAGCAGCGAGTGTCCCCCTCCTGGAAACGCTGAGGACGACACCGTGTGCCTGGATCTCGGCAGGTGTAAGGACGGGAAGTGCGTTCCGTTCTGTGAGAGGGAGCAGCAGCTGGAGTCCTGCGCGTGTAATGGTGAGCACACTTCCCTGCACTTGGCCAGGATGGTGGTGAGAACCCTGTGGGGTCAAGTGTGGAGACAGACTCTGGATTCGGGTCTGAGCCTCCACCTTGTCTGCGAAAACTAGTTTTCCTTCTTGCCACATTCGCGGACCGTGTGGTGGGCGTGGGTGTCATAGGAGGGAATTTGTTGTGGGTGGGTGGGCAGACGGAGGTCTGTCCTTGTCCCCCACCCCCGTGTCATACACGCTGTGAGAGCAGCAGGAGCTGTCTGTGTTGCTGTGATGCCCCTTCGGGACATCACTAGAGAGCTGATTCCCGCACTGACCCCTGTCGAGGTGTCTGCCGTTGTGGACAGGGCTGGGCCTGCTGCCCTGTGCTCTCTGCCGGAGGCCCGGGGCAGGGGCCTCACTTAGCAGTGGGTGGCAGCATCATGCTGGCCTCAGAAACTTGTCCTCAGGTTTCCACGTGATTGTTGGAACCACTGGGTCTAAGGAGGGGTTGTTGGGTTGACTGGGCTGAGTTTTCTGCCCCATCTTAGAGTTTTGTTGCTTTCAAAACAAAAAACCCAGCAGTCAAAACCAGTGGGTTGGGAGCTCAGTATCCATACAGTGGATTAAGTGGCTCTTCCTGGTGGAGTAACCAGCAAATAAAGAAGATGACACAATAGATGCCAAATAAATAATGTACACATCAGGGGTCCCCCACCTCTGAGCTGTGGACCCGTACTGTCTGTGGCCACATGGCAGGAGGTGATAGGTGGGCGAGCGAGCGAAGCTTCACCTGTATCTGCAGCCGCTCCCCAGTGCCAGCATCACCGCCTCAGCGCCACCTCAGACCATCAGGCATTAGATTTTCATAGGAGTGCTGGTCCCCGGTGCCGCAAAGGTTGGGGACCGCTGATGTACGGTGTGAGTGGCAAAAGGCTTAGGGTGCCCAGTAAGAACACATAGTAAATGCCCAGGAAACGCTCGATAATGAATGGACAGGTTATTGTTTTCCTTTTAAAGTTGTTTTTCCTGCCTGGGTGTCCTGGTTGATTGTGACTTGCCCTCAGTGAGTTTAAATATGGACTCGCCCCAGGGTGAAGCGAAGACCGTCCCAGGCTGCACTGCCAGTTTTGTTGGGCGTTTCCGCTGTTGGTGTGGGTGCCAGTGGCTAAGCTGACGCCTGGTTGTTCCTGTTCCCCACGTGCTGTCAGAGGCTGGCCTCCGTGGAGCAGGTCGCCCTGCACAGGCCGTGGTGCTGTCACACTGGCCACTCAGAGCCACACCCGTGGTGTATGTGTGTGGGCGGCAGTTCTGTCCTAGCTGTGTTGGCTCTGGCTTTCCAGTGTCCTTTAAACTGAGAGGCCAAGGGTCAAAGGCAGCACTGTGACAATGTGACGAAGGGCAACACTTGGTATTACGAAAGCTTAAAGCAGAATAAAGTGCAGTTGTTTTCTGTGTAAATGTTTACCTTGTGGCCTGACTCAGCACTGAGGAGTGCGAGCGCAAGCATTCCGAGTGGTGAAATACGGATAATAGCTTTTGAGATTAAAAATAAACGTGCTCTCTGGAGAGGCAGGGAAGAGAGCCCCGTCCCCGAACTCCAGCTGTGAGGCACTTCCGTTTCAGAGACGGACAACTCCTGCAAGGTGTGCTGCAGGGACCCCGCGGGCCGGTGCGCGCCCTACGTCAACGCCGAGCAGAAGCACTTGTTTCTACGGAAAGGGAAGCCCTGTACAGTCGGATTCTGTGATGTGAACGTGAGTGTGTCCCGCGTTTTCTGTAACAATCAAAAGGGAAGTCTTTATATTAAAAATACTTGATGATGCAAATAGAGGGAAATCAAAACAAAAGCTGCCATGTCCTTTAACCCACTGTCCCTTCTTGTGTAAGAGTCTGTCTGCTGAGGTGTGTGGGTCCACGCTCCCCAGAATAGGGGACCCTGAATCCAGAGACTGGGCAGGACCTCAAGGGGCTTTGGCACAGGTGGGTGGTTTCGGGCAGTGAGTCCCGATGATTTGGCTTTCTAGGTCAATCAGAACACTAACATTCAAAAATGCAAGTTTGATTTTGAAACTGACTGAGTAGGGAATATCTAGAGGCGGCCTGACTCACCAGTCAGACCCTTTGTTCTCTGCAGAAACGTAATTTTATTCGTGCAAAACATGGGCGAGGGTTGAGGGTCAGAGGGGCATCTCCAGGCAGCCAGGTCGTGTCCCACTGAGTGTGCAAGGGTGACCAGCATGGTCCTCACTGGGATGCTATCGTTTGTCTCCCGGTAATTCTAAAGTCACTTGTAAAAGCTGACTGGTTGTGAAGTGTCAGTGACAGCATGTCCTACTTTGTTGAGTACTCATTACCCTTAAATTACTGCTGGTGTCAAACGGGCCCTGGATGTCTGATCTACAAAGGCTTTCTCCTGACAGCTGTTTCCGTGAGGCCATGTACTGTGCGTTTCTTTTAGGGATGATGCTGTACGCTTTCTGTCTGCAGGGCAAATGTGAGAAACGAGTACAGGATGTCATCGAGCGGTTCTGGGACTTCATCGACCAGCTGAGCATCAATACTTTCGGTAGGTGATCTCCCGAGGCGCTGTCTGCTTAGAGCTCAGTTGGTTTCTGTGTTGACATTTGAAGTGTGGCTTCAGACTCACATGCTCCAATCCTGCCGTAGAAGATGGATTTGTTTTGCAACTGCACAGCGTGGATGCACACGTTTTCAGACAAAGAAAAGAATACTTAGTTAAAATACTGGCTTTACTAAAAAATGAACAAGATAGCATAAGCATGGTTCAGTCCTATCACTGTAAATCGGAATCCTGTCTGAGATGAGATTTATTTAAAAGTGGGCCTCAGATTTTGTAGAAGGAGGTACTGTGTTCTGTGGAGCCCATCATTTAGAGTTTAGTCACAGAAATACCTGGAGAGCAGCGACACCGTCTTAAGCGTCGTTGCTGGGGGCAGCCCTCTGTACGCTCCCTCCATTCAGTTACTCCAGGGGTCGTCTTGACCACTCTGTCATCTGTGCATCGGGGCAGTTTCTGAAAGGGACCTGTCGTGTGGGGAGATGCTTAGGTCTCATTTAGGTGGCACTCCTTCCTGTACTGGGTCAGTAGTATCTAGCCAGCAGCCTGTGGCATTTGTCACAATGATTATATTCTAATTATATTCTAAGAGTCTTTTCGATTTATGAAGTATTTTGATCAAGACGTTCGCTCTTTGAAATTGTTCACAGGGAAGTTTTTAGCAGACAACATCGTAGGCTCCGTGCTGGTTTTCTCCCTGCTGTTTTGGATCCCTTTCAGCATTCTTGTCCACTGTGTGGTAAGTCACCATTTATAGGTAACAAAACATTTTCGTAAAATTTAGAGCAAATCCAACCATATAATTTTTGGAGAAAATCTTTTCTTAACAAAATCTGACCTGATCCCTGGGAAAGGATGTCTTGTTAAAAGCCTAGCGGATAGTCTCTTAAAAGAATTCTTGTTTGTGTGCAGATGTTTTATTCTCAGGTATAATTTCTGAGGGATTTTGTACCTGTAAGCACTGGGACCTCTGATGAGTGAAGGTCCCAAACGGGAACATTTTTCGGTGGCTTTGCTGTAATGGAGCAAACATCAAACTTTGGCATTCCCACGGGGGTGCCCTCTGTCCCCCGATCCTTGGCATTATCCTTCCAGCAAATAAGAGCGAGCGGTCTTTTTCATTCCCACTCACGATGAGTAGCTGCAAGTGAGTCAGATTAGGCTTCGTCTGAGGAGCTCCAGGCACCTTGTAAACTTGGGACTCGCTGTCGACATCTTCCTTACAAATCCATTCCCCTTGCCTCGCTTCTCTGGGGGAATGAGAGTTTGTCTGCAGGAGCGATAAGGTCAGACCCGGGCTTCCGGGCTTTCACAGGAGCTCTTGGAGAATTCCAGCACGGTAGCCTCTCCGAGCGCTACCGCCTCCGCTTCTTGTGTTGCCGGTGTCTCGGGCCTGGGCTGCCCCACTGCGCGGCTCCCTCGGGATGCAGAGTGTGGTGGGTGCGGGGAGGAGCGACTCTAGGCAGCAAGCGGCTCTGCTAAAGCAAAGCTGTGTTTAAGTGCCATGGTCAAAGCTTCAACAGGTAGACGACAGTGCCATCCACCATGGCTGCTTTTACTTGAGCGTCACACCTGCTTCGATTACAGTGGAAGTCACACTTTGGACCGTGAGGCCTGACCCTTGTCCGAGCAAAGCTGCTGACGGGAGAGAGGGTGGTGGCCTATTTCTGACTACACAGTATGCTCAGGGCGTCCGGACTAGAAGCCAGGCCTGGGTTCGCAGGCTTAGCCTCCTGCTCGTGCCCGTTGTCATCTGTGACTTGTCAGCCACAGGCAGAGGCTGGGGGCAGTGGATGGAACCATGTGTTCAGCCTTTGTGGAAGTGTGACGTAAGTTATGAGGCCCAGTTACTTCAGGAGTTTGGGCCACAGAAACTGGAAACAGCTGAGTGTCAACAGCTGTGGCGGGCTGGGGCAGAGCGAGGCCAGAATCAAGTGAGACTATGCGTCCAGCCCCTTGGCCTCCGCGATGGCCTGAGGCCAGCGTAGCCTGGCACAGGCTGGGATGGGCCTTAGGTCTGACTGCCGAACCCCCGGGGAGGTGCCCTTGGTATCCTTCTGTCCACAGGGCAATCGCAGAAAAACAGCACTTAAACCTTGCCTTACTTAAAAACGCAGTTCCTTCAAGTGCAAAGGAAACACTTCTAGGCAGGTGGCAGAACTCAGTTTATGCAAAAATGTTCATTCTCATTTACTGAACCTGCTGCCACTTTCCACAACTCCAGGTCCAGGTTCTTCACTCAGTATCAGGAGGAGCCTGGGAGGAAGGCGCACCTCACCCAATTTCGTCTGTGGCAGTGACCTTTTCTCCTGTTGTTTTTCTAGGATAAGAAATTGGATAAGCAGTATGAGTCTCTGTCTCTGTTTCACCCCAGCGTAAGTATGTCGCATGACTCTGCCAAGCAGAGACCTCTGGTTCACTACCGCAGCTGTGGCGGCTCTTTGGGGGAGGTCACGTTGTAGCAGGCAGGGTCGAAGCTGGGTGTTAAGGTCAAGCCCGTGACAGCGGTCACAGTGAACGGATGGAGGTTTAAACAGTAGCGCTTCTCCAGCCCCCCTCCTCCCGCTCAGCTCTGAGCCACTTCGCTGCTCCACACCGACTTATTTTGAGATCTTTTCCTGTCTTGGGATCTTAACTTGATAGTTACTTTTTTTATAAGTTCTCTTGGGTTCTTCAAATGGCATGTCGTCAGGACATTTGAAAGCTAACTTTTTGAGTGACTTCTGAGTTGAGGGAGCCTCACCTAGTGCTCTCCTTAGCATGAGGGATCACGGCACCAACAGTGTGAGGCCGCTGGGTAGGTGAGGTTGGAGCTGTGGGACATGTCAGTCATATTTTACTCCCATGTCTTTCCAGAATGTCGAGATGCTAAGCAGCATGGATTCGGCGTCAGTTCGCATCATCAAGCCCTTTCCTGGGCCCCAAACCCCAGGCCGTCTGCAGCCCTTGCAGCCCGCCCCCGTGATGCCTTTGGTGCCTACAGCCCCAAAACTGGACCACCAGCGAATGGACACCATCCAGGAAGACCCCAGCACGGACTCGCACATGGACGAGGATGGCTTTGAGAAGGACCCCTTCCCAAACAGCAGCACAGCGGCCAAGTCATTCGAGGATCTCACGGACCATCCAGTCACTCGGAGTGAAAAAGCCTCATCATTTAAGCTGCAGCGTCAGAATCGTGTTGACAGCAAAGAAACAGAGTGCTGACTCAGATACTGACGCTCTGAGCTTTGACTTAAGTGTGCAAAACGTTTCCATAGATTTGACCTAAAATCACTGCATATATTTTGTGAAGATTTGCGAGCTACAAGGAAGTAACTTCCCAGCAGTGCTGGCCATGTGTTTGGACTTCCTTCTCTCTGTCGTACTCGTGTGGTTAGGCCCTCTCCTTGTGGACAGGTGAGGTGAATCTAGCTTATTTTGAGGCTTTCAGGTATTAGTTTTGATCTTTAAGATATCCTTCAACCTGTGGTGCAGAAGTGAAAATACAGCTGGATCAGGTTATAAGTATTTCCATTTTTGTAAATCAACCTTTTATATTGGTAACAGCGCCGATTAGGGAAATGGTCAGTTTTCTTTTTCATGCACTGTAGTGATCCGCCGAATTCGAGGCACTTGGCAGTTACTCGTGAGGACAACTGGAACAGATGTTTTACCTCTGAGTAAGGATGGGGATGAAACCAAGCTATAAAACAATCTGGTCTAGTGAGTTGCAAATAGCCAGTCAAATTTACAGAATCCTGCCAACTCTTCAGGGCCCTAATTTCCTGGGCAGTTTTTTTATGTTTTATAAGTATCTTCATGTATTTCTAATACTGTTGTTTAAATAATTCACCATAGAACCTAAACTACAAAATAAGAGTATGGTCGTCTCTTTTTCAAACACTACTGGTCAAGAGGGCATGTGAGGTTTCCTGTCCAAAGAACAGGTGGTTCTGGGTGGGCCAGGGTGTGATGTGCTGGCCAGTGGAGGGAATGCTGCCTCACAAGGCTTTATTTCTTTGCCAGTGATTCTCAATCACCCTGTGTACTAACCTGCATGCAAGTGGACGTTTGCATTACTTCTTGCGTTAGGATTCTGGGCCGTGTGCATTTACTGTGTGAAGGATAAGTCATCAGATGAATTCTGATTTCCTTAAAATTATAGTAAAAAGCTTTCTCCCTGTAAGTACTGAAATTTGCTCATCAGTCACCATGGTTAAATGAGTTAACTTGTAAACTGAGGGCACTTAACCAACCTGTGACAAAGTGTCATTTTTACTAAGGACGTTTGTTACGCAGATACCTGTTACACTAATACTTGAACTTATACCTTGTGGTATTTGCTGTCTTTTAACTAGTCGTGATTATATTTTAGTTACACTCTTGGAATCTGATGTAAAGAGTGAGGTGTGTGGGTGTATGCGTGAGTGAAGCAGTTCCCAGCTGAGTGTAAGAATACCATTTTTATAAAATTGTGACTTTTTAAAAAACAAAACTGTCTTTACCTTTTTTCCACTTACAGAATTAAGCTGCTCAGGGGGTATTCTGTAGCTGTGGCACTGATGACACCTGCATCAATCAATAAATATTTAATATCAAAACAATGTACCTAGGTACAAAGCTTCCCTGAAAAATAATGCTTTTATTAATCTCGGTAGCAAATGTCAGTGTTTTTTGTTTCAGGGTTCTAAGAAAAAGTTTGAGAAAAAAATATTCGTTGATCACTTATCTTGAGATTTTTATGCACTGGTGACATCTCATTCTGTAAATTAACAGCCAGCCTTGGTTATTGGTGGCTAATGGTCCCCATCTCCCAGAAGACTGAGTTCCGGCTTTGCTTCTGCTATGTCTCTCCAGTAAGGGAGCAGCAACGGTAGGGAAGAGACTTTCTTCTCTATCAAAGGCCAGAGGTGTGAGAACAGAAACTCATTTCCCTTCGGTGACAAATGCAGTCCATCTGACAAATAGGATGAGAAGTCCTGCCAAGGGGGAAGAGGGCTCAGTTAAAGGTGTGCGACTAAGGTGTCTAACGCCCGTGTGTAGATGACATGCATGTTACAGACATTAAGCACCTGTGCTGAGACATCCTTCCAGAGAGGCTGAGAGTGAATGTGGCACATTAACGTAATCGACAAAAGGAAGTGTGTTGTGTTAGAGCTCAGGGCCCGGTCTGCCGGCTTGTTTTGGACTCTTAGGAAAGTTATTAGGTGGAAAGAACCCATGTGACCCAGGCTGGGGCAGTCACTGCTGGCCTAGGGTCCCACCTCCCCGGGACACTGACCGTGTGGCCTGCGAGTTCATGGCTTTCACAGACTAGGATTCTGATTCTAATGGCGCTTTCCCAGACCTTCATTTTCACTTGTGTTGACACCCAGGAGTGGGACTGCTGGGTCCTGGGTGTTGTTAACTCAGCCGGTCTTCCTGAGTGGCTGCCCATTCTGCAGGGGGATCAGCTTTTTACCTTCATAATTTGTAAGTGGGCTTTCTGGCTTTAAAGACAATTAGAACTACATACCTTAAAATACAAATTTAGCCAGTACCATATTCTACTAAATCACTGTTTTGTCTGGTAACAAGCTTTATCCTCCCCCCACTCCGTATTATAAAAACCTGGCCTGGATGTTCTTAAACATGGACCATTTACTCATTTATTTCACTACATGCTAATGGTTAAAGGGCTTCCTACAGCTCAGGCACCAGGTCAAGCAGTGTGCTGGGTCTGCAAGACATCCCGGACCCCCTATGTCCCAACTTTAACTGGTGAAAGGGACAAACCATCTTTGCCCCTCAGAGCCACACACAGCTGAGTCATTTCTGTGGGACCCTACTCACCCCAGTAGGACTGAGCAAGCCACCCTACCTGCCCATCCTGCTGCATCAAGGCCCACAGGTCAAGCACGTCAGTCCCACAGTCCCGGGCGACACGTAAGCAGCCACTGGCGTATTCACCCACCACTGAGTTCAGGCGATTTAACTTGCAGCCTATTGAGAGAAAACGCAGGTGGCAACTGATAACCAAGTACCAGGCCTGGTGCAGGTTCTACTGACCTGGATGGACAGTTGCTCAGTTCTAGGACACTGGCCCGGGACCGGCGTGTGGGGATAACACAAGGAAGGGCCTCACAGGTTACTGTACAGTTCAGAGGACGAGGGAGCCTTACTGGTCACCATGGCCTCCTGAGGACACTGTGAACAGAGGTCCAGAGGCAGGAAGGACCCCAGGGGAGCCAGGCTGGTGGCCAGTAAGGAGTGCTGTGCCGAGACCCCTGAAGTTTTATATGTAAGAAGCCCCTACGCTATGGTGGAAACATCACTTGTAGACTTTCGACCAGAGAAGGTGTAGGCACGAATGTCGTTAAGGCTAACTCGAGGGTCAGCAAACATTCTCAGCAAAGAGCCGGACAGTAAATAACTTCAGGCTTTGTGGCATATGCTCTCTGTTGGCAGCTACTTGACCCTGCGTTGTAGCTCAAACGTAGGCAGAGACAGTAGGAAACCAGTGGGCTTGGCTGGCTTCAATAGAATGTCATTAGCTGTCGCCACTGGGTCGTAGTTTGCTGACCCCCAATCTAATGTGGCAATTCTCAAACTTAAGTGGATGACACAGTCACCTGGAGGACTTACTGGGCCCCACCCGAGAGCTCCAAGTTCCCAGGTGGTGCTGATCTGCTAAGCTAGGAGCACACAAGAACCATGTCGATGGCCCAAAGCCTGGCTGAATAAAAACAGTAATATTTTACACCAGGACCCAATGCACACACATCTACGCGAGTGACACAAGTCTCAAAACAATGCCTGTGTTCTAGATACTGATTTTTTTCTATTATGTTCCATTAAAAAAATGCCCTAAGACACTTAGTTTCAATAACGACAAATGGGTTGTGACCTGCAATTTGAAGAGCACTGACCCGTCTAACAGCTCTGGCCATCGGCTCAGCATGAACATGTCCTGCACAGCAGACTTACTATGGGACAGGCCGTCCCCGATGCAGGCAGAGAGCACTGGGATGGCACCCACTGGGGCTCTGCTTTGCCCTCTGGAGCCAACAGCGGGCCTCTGTCCTCCCTCTGCCCTCTCCACTGTGCTCCTGGGGAGTGCTCCTGGACATCGCTAGATCCTGCTTTGGTACTTTCCACAGACCTCTCTCACTGCCTCAATGCCACTGATGACGCTGCTGCAAACACCTGACATGACTCCCTCGCTTCATGGCTTAACAGACCGGAACTGGGTTCTAGTCATTTCTGTATCTTGAGCACCTGGCCATGGCCTGGCATAGCATGCAAAGGTGCAAAGAGGAACAGCCAGTGGGGATGGAAGTGCCTCCGGTGGCAACAAGGCAGACACCTCGGCCTCAGCACCAGGCAGAGACCACACCACGCACCTGGCTGTTCTGAGATGCTTGCTCAGCTGTCAGCATGGTTCTCAGTGGCTTCGTGAGCATCCTGGAGTTTGGCCAGGCCAGGGGCCCAACCCAGGAGTTTGGCCAGGCCAGGGGCCCCCCCAGGGGTCATCCAGAGTGAGGCTCCCTTTTCTGTGTTGACAGTTCTCAGAACGTAAGAGAAGGTATACTTAATTTTAACGTGTTTACTGAACACAGACTGGCATGGATTTACAGACCCCAAGAACCTGAGACCCACAGGCTGGACACCCCCATCCCATCTAGGTTCTCCCTGGGCCTCACGTCCAGCCCCGTGAGCATGCCATGTGTTTACCTTTTGCGAGGCACTCCTTTTCCCACGCTGCCTCACAGAGAGGGGGTGGCGTGATGAGAATGACCCTGTTCTCTGGGACGTCCACGGATCTCAGATACTGCACTATGCTCTTTAGATTCGCCACGTACTCGTCCAGGGGGATGTGCTGCTTGGGGTTCTCGTCTGTTCGGGAGGAAGGTGGATCCTTTAACCCAAACGCAGATTTGTTTACGTGACAGTGAAGATTAATACACGTTCACAAATACGTATGACTCCTGATGTCGCTGGGGAATTGTCTAGTACCCAGGACAGGACGAGAAGGGGGAAGAGCTCAAGCACACAGTTCTTCCTAAAATAAGACTTCGACAACAGTCCTTCCGGCTCGGGGCCCCGGAAGCACTCTCATCTTTTCTCCTCTCATGGCCATACGGCTATTAGAGGAATTTGTGAAGAAGTAAGAGCCCAGGTTGTGGAGTGAGACCGCCCAGGTGCTATCCTGGCTTTGTCACATGCCCCTGGCCAAGTGCCCAACCTTTCTGTACCTCAGTTTCCTCACTGGTAAGATGAGGATGAAAATAGGGTCTATCTCATGGGGTGACTATGAAAATTACATCAGCTGAGTGTGCAAAGCATTTACAGTGAGGTGCCTGCCACGAAGGAGGCACTAAGTGTCGGCTTCTGCTTCTGCCGTTATGGTCACAAAGGATCACTTCTGATGGGCCACACGTAAGAATCACAGAGCTCGCTGCAGGCCACGTGCAAACCACACGCAGGTGTGATTACATTAGGAACAGAAAATCACTCACGATCCTACCACCCAGAAAACTACTGTTGGCAGCGAGATGCACCTCTTTCCGGCGTCTTCCACGTTGATATGCATACTTAAAAAAATGGGGCCCCATTAAAGATAAATGACCACGTTGTGCTTTTTTTTCACATGACATTATGAGCACTTGTTTCCATAAATAGTCCTCAAAAATGTGTTAGGGCGACCACAGTTGAAGCTTCTAATTCCTTACTATGCTGCCTGTTTCGCCATTATCGATGACGTGTCCCCGGCTGCCTGTGAGCATTTCCCTGGGCTGGGTTTCTGGCCGCGGGAGGTCCTGCGCGCACGCCCCCACGCGGCTTTCAGAAAGATGGCAAGCCTGCCCTCCGGGACGTAAGGGAGGCCCAGCCCGCTCCACACTCGTCAGCTCTATACCTATCACTGCTTAAAAGTGCTTTCCCATTTGAGTCAAAAAAGCAGAATTCCTTAATTTGCCTTTTTTGGGGAACTGAAATTTTCACTCGTTCTCAAACGTATTGACTTAAAATTCTCCTTTTGGAGTATCTATTCTTGCTTTTGCCTATTTTTCTATTAGTGTAAATTTTTTTCTTGATTTACACATTAAAGACCTTAACCTTCTGATTGCCATGTTTCCGCAAATATTTTCCTCAATGTGTCATTCTTTTTTTATAGTTTTGACATAAGCTGTTTTATTTCACAAACCTATTTTTCCCTTTGTAATTCCCTCCACTGCTTTCATGCTTTACAGTGTTTTTCCCTAGCCTGAATTTGATAAAACGTAACCCTTCCTTTCTGAGTTTGCTTTCTTCTGGTGCTGATGTACGTGCAGCTATGCCTTCGCCTCCCTCCAGGCGGTTGGCTTTGTCTCCACTACCTGAGCTTAGTCTCCTTCCGTCATCACCAGCCTGAGTTGTCCCCACAGTGTGCCTGTGACTAGCAGGAAGTGCTGCTGGGAGGAGAGAAGCGACGGCACTGGATAAACCTTTGGAAGGTGCCCAACGTCCCAAAGTCAAGGCTGACTCTTCTTCATGCCGCACAGAGGGCTCTCCTGTCAGAGGAGGAAGACAAAGGCCTCCACACGGTCGGTCACTTTTTCCTCTAGTCACAGCAGCAGCTCTGAAAACGTGAGGGATGTGCCTCCTGCTCCCAACCCGTTTGCCGTCAGCCAGGCTTCCTATCTGCACCTGGGTCCGGGGCAGCTGCCCTGAGCTGCCCCTTCATTAGTGACTCAGTACGAGGTGTAGGGCGAGCGCTGTGCTGCCAACACATCAACCAGAGGGAAGAGCGAGACACCGGGCACAGCACCACAGGGCTGGGAACCAGGGAGCACTTGGCACTTGGGGTCTGCTAGCGACCCAGGCATGTAGAGAATAGGTCGGGCATAAAATTCACTGACATTAGAGACAGAGGAAGTACACGTAAGTACTCGGGACTCATAAATTCGGCAAAACTTAGCTTTTAGGAGACAAGTAAATAGTGTATACATTTAAGTTTGCTATAACAAAAATTAAAAATGAACTAGAAAATACAAAAATGCCTTTACCTTTTAGTGCACTGTCGTTGGCACCAAAGAAAATTGTAACTGCTACCGGATTGTCTAAAATGTTCCCTTTCTTGATTAATCTTGGAAGGATAATTTTGGCCCATCTGGTATTATAGCCTGAAAAGCCACGATTCAGAACATCACATTTTCTGAAATGAAAAATTAAAAAATAAATAAATAAATAATGAATTGTGGACAAAACTGTTTTCGGTCCCCCAACCAACCTTCAGTGAGGATGTGCTCTCTGGGCTCGTCCTGCCCTGCTCTGCCGACGCCCCAGGTTTCAGCCAGGAAAGAACAGCTAGCCTTCCTCAAGGCATTCCAAGACAACGGCAAATCTGCCATATTCCTCGAGGGAGGTTATGGATAATTACAAACGAAAGGACTATGATTTAGTCTGCAGACTAGCTGATTTCTCACGTGGTACAGACAGGTGCTTTCAAAATGGAGTTTACAGCAGATAGGCATTAACCTGAGCAAGCACCTTAGGTAGAAAGTCACCTGTAGCTGGAACTCACATGTAACAATGGTTTGTTTCATGAGGGTAAGTGTATAGAATTTCTTTTTTTTTTTTTTTTTACAGACTATTTTCTTAGAGTTTTAGGTTTATAGCAAAATCGAAGGAGGTACAGAGAGCTCCCACTTACCCCCTTCCCCCACTCACGCAGTGCCTCTCCATGAGCAACATCAGCGTGGGGCATTAGTTACAAGTGACAAACCTATTTTGACCATTATTATCAACCAGTGGTTTTGTTTGAAATAATTTTAGTAAATATAATCATTCTGTTTCACTTTAAACCAGTTCATTAACAGGCATTTTTTCCTTTTTAAAAACATATGATTTGGTTCACGGTACTGTATGGTATAATGAAAAAAAGCCATGGATCTTAGCTGGTTGCCAGGGTTTGAATCCCAGTCCCTTCAATTAGCAGCTGTGACCATGGGTACGTCAGTAGACGTTTAAAGTGGTCCAGAATAAAAAAAAATTTTTAAATGAATCTTGGAGTTCATTTTATGATTAGCAAATTGTGTGGTTCATGCTGGTGTATGGTTCAAATTCCTGCACATAAATAAGCAGAGATGCCAGGCCACCACTGAGGGACTGCGGGCTACGTGGCCAGGCAGCAGAGGCCAAAGAGCAGCAGGAAGGGACTCGGTTTTGACACTACTATGAAAGCTTCCGAGGACAGCGACGAAAAGATTCGGCTACATTTATTTCTGAGCGTGACTCGGGGTGTTCTGTGTGTAATGGAATCCTCTCAAACTGACAAGGTGAGCCCGTCTCACAATCGTCCAATGAGCAAGAACAGCACTTGAAAAGCAAAGGGCAAAACAGTGTCCCCCTCAGGCCTGTGCAGTGTGGTCGCAAAGCTGCAAGGTCTAGAATCAGAGTGGCCAGTGCCCCTGAAGGGCAGTGAGGCCATGGCCACCTGCTTGGTTTTTCTGAGCCTCGCTGTCCCCACCTGTAAAAGACAAACGCTAACACCTAACCCACAGCTGCCATATGTTGAGGTTATGTAATAACCCGTTATGTCAAGGTGAAATCCAGAGAGCTCAACATATGGCAGCTGTTGCAGACTTTTTGAAAAAATCACCTAAGGAGGCGTGAAGCGGGGAGAGCTGTGAGGCTCAGAACTGTGAAGGGTCCCTCTGAAAGGGAAGGACATTTGCATTTCCCTTGACCGAATAACAATCAGCAGTGCCGAAGTTACTCAAAAAGCTAAAGAAATGGAAAAATTAAAAGCTTTTATATAAATTCATGGCTAATAATAGGTATTAAGTGTAGGTGAAGGCAGGAAAAGCTAAATGATTTCAAACATATAGGCTCTGAAAGATTGCCTTCCAGAAAAATGGATATTAGGTGTTTTATAAATGGCAACAGGCAAAGGTACTCTTTAAAAGCAAATAATGGAAGCTTTTAAAAATTGAAAAAGGTGAGTTTATTCTATCTCCTTCAAACCAAGTATTTTTTGGTTAACGAAATACTTTGATAAGGTTAAAATTAAAATATAGCAATAAAGTTTAAAAGTTTTAAATGGATTTAAGAATTAAATCATTAACTTTTGTTGATAAAAAAAGATCTCAGTTGAAGATAAAACTTAAAGGTGTCACTATGAACACAATTACATATTTTAAATGTGCTAGCCACGTAATTAGTACAGGAGGGCAGTCACGGCGTCTCCCCTCAGACTCAGAAATTAGGGTAAATGAAAGCACTGAATCCGCTGAGGGCTGTGCGGATGGCTGAAGTGGACATTAGGGGCCTAGGTCTACAAAAGATTCACCCCAAGTACTAATGTGGCCACAGACCGTGTGTGTCCATCAAAAGGGTAGCTGTTTGGTATGGAATAGAAAGGGTCAGTTCTGGCACTAAAGGAGGGTGGACTTGAATTGATTGGTCCCCCTGCAGTGAAAGCAGATGCCAGTCACCCTGCAGGGTCCCTATGACAGAACCCATTGTGCCCCACACAGCCTCCTAGCACTCCTTGGAAGAACACGGGCTCGGTCAGCCAGCGTCAGTGTCCCCTCCACCTGGCTTCTATCTTTTGTTCCCTGAGTGTGTCCAGGAGAGAGAGGCATTCTTGGTGGGTGGAGCCCGAATGGGGCAGAATTCGCCCAGGTGAGGCCACCTTGTGGGCTCAGCCAGCAGCCACTCAGTTTTGTGCTTTGTACAACAGGATGCTTTTAAGTTATATAAACAAGGCATAACAGACCACACATTGTCTCCAACTTTGCCCTTTCTTGTAATTACTTTAAGTTCTGAAAAATAATTACTTAAGTGGTCTTTTAGCACTCATACTGGTAAACTCAATTCTGATAAGATTTTCGAGCTCAAGTTAACTATGAAACTATTTACATGCTGGAGAAATTTGAAATGCCTGGAGTTTTTCAGGCCACTTGAATAATTAGCTTTTCAATATCTTCTATTTGCTCAGAAATGGTTAACAGACTAAACGGTTATGGGATTACTAAAATAAAAGCACTTGCCAAGTTCCAGGCTCAGCTAAGCTGGCATGAGCAGGTGACCCTGACAGCTCCAGAGGCTCAGCAGGATGCGCTCTGGAGCCAAGCCACCTGCCACGTTGTAGTTGCATGAACCTTGTCATTTATTTAACCTCTCTCCATCTTTTCTCAGCTATACAATGAGTAAGAGAATAATAAAATTATAGGATACTGGGAAAGATTAAATGAGACAATACACATGAAGCATTTTAAAACAATTTCTGGCATCTGGTAAATATTAAATAAGAGCTAATATAGCCCCATTTTACAGAAGAGAAAACAGGAATGAAATGATACTTTCATGTTTTTAGATTAAGTCCACTTAAACAGAGAAAACAGTAACAGAAAAGGCTGGAAGGTCAATTTTTCATTTCTAGTTTAGGAGAAAAATGAAAGAAAGTAAAGATATTTTCAAACACATTTCACATTTAGAAATAACTTAAAATGTTTTCTTAGTGTGTTAACACTGATAAAAAAATCATCAATGATAAACCAGTAGTACACCCAGCTTATTTCTTCTAGAGGAAAAAACAAATCTCTTGTTGATCAGTTCACTGATACCCCAAACATAAACATTTGTGTCTGCTGTTTTCAATGTGGAAAATATTTATAATCATTTTATTAACCTCTTCAGTTAGGGTATTGTTTCCCTTTTAATGGCTTCCTTAGCATACATGCAAATTAAGTTTGGCAAAAAAATACCCAAATCATTACTATATTTTATAAAGAAAATTTTTTTGGGGGGGGAAACCTCTCCAAAAATGAACACAACTTTGTTAATGTATCCTTTTTTCAAATGAATGCCTCATCAATCATTTAAATCATACCCACCATAATAACTTGTTTCTTTTCGGATGGTGAATTAGATGGTGTTTTGTTTTGTTTTGTTTGATCCAGCCCCCTAACACATTTTTCACAACTTTTAGGGATTGCTTTCACTTCGTGGCAAAGTTCTGCTGCCATGGCAAGCCCACATACACACTGACTAGGACAGGCCAGCAGAGGAGGAACTTACTGTCTGAAACTTTATCATTTACCCTCTTTTCCTGAGATACGAACATCTATTCCATCAATAAACACTCAAGTATCAATTAGAAACTATTCTCACCTGGCAAGTCTGTCAGCCAGTGATGCTCCCCATCCACCCTGATGGAAGGAAAACTGAAAGAAGAAAAGTTAACGTGAGCAGGGCATTCTGCTCGGCCGTCCTGCGTTCCCTTCGCACTCCCTGCCCCTTGGCCTCCATCCTCCTGGTCGCTCAGAGGTCGCTAGAGGGATTCCTGCAGCCACGCCTCAGCAACTCTGGGAATCAGAGCCCTCGTCTCCAGCAACTGGATTTGAGTCAGTGTCTACATTTTACTGAAATCTAGTATTAGAGTCACTGTTATCTAGAAAAGCTACTCAAAAAAATCTACGTGTAAGAGATAAAAGCAACGGTATGTTCGGTTAGGAAATGAAGTCCACGCTACACCTTTCTGCAGCTGAACAGTAAGAAAATTAATTACAGAGCTCAGGGTGAACATCTTTTGGTGAACATCTTTTGGTAAACGTTCCCGAAGAATTTGGAACGCCCTTACTGCTCAGATGCCTAAAAATTGTTATTATTGGCATACACAGAAAATTCGTTTATGAAACTGAATTTTAGGGGGGGAAAAAAATCACAGGAAAGTAATTTTAAAAATATGCTCCCCCTCTGAAGAAAGAACGTGTATTTCCACGGTTTTCCTTGGTGTGAGTTAAAATGATTTCGGATGAAAAGATGATCTACTTTACTCCTGGAGACATTTTATTCGAGATCAACCCTACCCGCCACAGGAAGCACAGAGTGAACTGGTTCCCAGTGTGTCCGCATGGGACCGGCCGCCCAGAACTGCGGGAAGCGAGCCAGCCGCCAGCGGGGTCTGTGCAGGTGGCCCCCTCGGGGCCAGAAGGCGCTGTGGGCGACGAAAGCACGCTCGGTGCAAAAGAGCTGCCACTGACGAGGAGGACACTACGAATACGGCGACGCGCCTCGGCTCGCGCCAGGCTCCCCCAGATCCCCACGAAAAGTGACAAAGCGCTGCGAGCTCGGGCTCTGTCACTCCCCGGCGCGGCCTGGACAAGCCCCTTCACTCCCCACACTCATCTGCACGGCAGCGCTGGGACTGAGGAAACCTGCGGGCAGGGGCTGCGGGGCGCGCCGCCACC